TATTGAAACGAAGATGATAATAATATTTTAACAATAGTAATGATACTAGTTAGAGTGATAAAAATAATATTTGGATGAAGATCAAAATTAAATCGTTTAGTAAAAGTAATGACCTTGGTTCAACTACTGATCTTACTTTTTTTGGTCACATGTGATCTAATTCTTCTCCTTTCCTGTAAATGTAATTATAAATGTGTGTGTGAATAAGAGGGTGACTGTAATATTATAAATGTGTGTAAGGAGGGTGAGTGTAATTGTAAATGTGTGTGAATAGGAGGGTGAGTGTAACTGTAAATGTGTGTGAATATGAGGGTGACTGTAAATGTGTGTGAATAGCAGGGTGACTGTAAATGTGTGCGAATAGGAGGGTGAGTGTAATTGTAAAAGTATGTGAATATTCGGGTGACTGTAACTGTAAATGGAGGGTTAGTGTAATTTTAAATGTGTATGAGGGTGACTAATTCTCCACACGTTTGGCTCTTCATCTATCGTCCCATTACCCGCCCCGACCATCGGCCCGAGCTGCAGTCGATCAACTGATTAATTCGGCGGGATTTATTAGGTGTGGCCTGACAGCTACATATTTAATCGTCTGGACACCAGGCTGCTGCACTCTTGTGGGACTGGTCAGTTAATTGTTTGGCAGCCATCCTGAAAGAAGCGCCGGGCCATTTGTCACTGTACAATGTTTGATTTGTGTTTTTGAATCGCATCCAAATTCCGAGGATGTATTTGGTAACTAGAAAGGTTACCAAATGCAAAGCAAATGCATAAGGTTTACCTTCACATGGTCTACTCTCCAAGCAGAGGTAGGGTCGCTCAGTATTTTGGCAGTATTTTCGCGTTTTTAATACGTCTTTCTACTTTTACGGTTTTTTTTTTTTTGGTCTTCCTCCTCTCCCGTAAAAAAAACCCGTAAAAGTAGAAAGACGTATTAAAAACGCGAAAATACTGCCAAAATACCGAGCGACCCTACCTCTGCTTGGAGAGTACACATGGTCTAGCCCAAGAAAGTGCTGCTCTGATGAGTCAAGCGAATTCATATACATATATATGGTGACCCGTCCCTCCAACTCTATCATGCTACAAAATGTAACCCAACACCAAAGGGTGTCTGCTACAGCACCAGTTACCATGGAGACAGACGTCTGGAGCAGGCCATTGACTTGATTTGTTTAGACGAAACTGTCTCTGTCACATAGGGCACATTTTTACGCTGACTGGACACTGTGTACCTCTAGTTGGGTCTATCATTGGCAAGGTTCTCACAGTGCTCTATATGTCAGTGTCGACATCCAAACTACAGCCTTAAATATAAACCTCCTTGCTATTGCTTAATTTCTTAACGTCCAATAATAGTAATGGCAAATAATAATGAGGAACCTAACATTTTCTGATGTCTGTAAGAAATGAAATATTTTCCGTGGTGCGAAGTCTAGTTCTTCCAATTTTATTGGATATAGTGCTGGCATTCCAGACACAAGTAAGAAAACGTAATGAAAAGATGTCAGAAACTCCGTCAAATATAAGGTTATGATACGTCCATGCCAAATCCTTTTTTATTGAACGTGTCTTATAGATGACGTTAGTCCTGTATGAATTTTGAAAGAAAAAGAAGATAAAAATTCATTCCCGTCCTCTAATTAAAACTGCCACAAGGATTGATTTGTTGTGTAACAAACGCCGTGTTTCTGCACTCTAATATAAGTAGATACTGCATTGCCTGTCAAGTAGTCAACTTCCCAATAATATATCAACTCAGTGCATAACAACAGTACGTGTACAATGCGTGTGTGTGTTGTATCCATGAATAATTTCATCAGGTTAGTGAGTCATTGAAATGTGAAGTTCTTTTATTCACAACCATTTGTTAATTACATGAGCCAACGTTCCGATGGCGCTCTGTCATCTTCGTCAGGGCTCATATGACTGGTTCACTGGAGCACCGGAGCACTGGTCCACTGGAGCTAGGTGTTACTGGTCCACTAGTGTACAATGAAGATAGATGTTACTGAAACAATGCAGTACGTGTTATCGTTTTCGAAGCGAAGAATCCTTTTCGCTATCATTCACTCAACACTGACGGGGAACGATACAAGTTGCGGCTAAATTTCATAGAAATATGTGTCGATGCTCAGCTTTATTTACTTCACAATGTCCCCGTAGATATAATTACTCACCACTTGCGATACTTCATTGTTGTTGGTACCTTGTTTTTGTTGTTACGAATGTACTTTCATCTGTATGTTTGCAGATAAATATATCCTCTAAGGAATGTATACTTTTACCCAAATCTCCAAAAATGAATGTGAACAAAATGCTAGTACGTAAGATGAACAGAATGCACTTGAAGGAAGTCTATCTTAATGCGATTGTTACATAATAGACAATCGGTACACTTAATCTGCCATCCTCAGTCAGGAACATTTTCTAATCTCTCTGGACATCGTCGTTCATACAGAACCTAGTAGTGTGGTTTTTTTAACGGTGTCGCTCAATGCAAGGCCAATTATTTTTGGCCACTTCTAGGCATAGAGCTAGAGGTATAGAACTGTAACAGCAACTCTTCTCCCTGAGTCAGAAACATCATGATTGCCTTTTTCCTGTTTGCCTACACAGCCGCCACTTTGACAACCCCTCTCACTAGAAAGGTCATAAGTGACGTTCCAGTCAATAAAAGGGCGTTCAATCATATACGTACCCGACAGGTTGACCCGTTATTATATTCGCCAAGACGGTTATGTTTTCGGTGTGTGTGTCTACATGTTAGAGACACCAAAACCTTTTTGTTGTGGTTTCTAAATTATATAGATAACGAATCCGGCAGCTTGAACTCCAGTGCCCTTTCCCAGTCTGTCCGCTCCGGTAGCACTTCAAAAATGTCCTTTACCCGAAAGGTCAACGATGACGTTTCAATCGATAAAGGGGCGTCATTTCACAAATGTATTGGGCAGATAAACAAATGTTTAACTGTGGTTAAAGTGCGTGGAGCCATATCGTGAATTGGTAGGCGGGGTAGAGGTGTGAAGATGGAAAGGACGACGGAATCGTAAAATAACGGGTTTATAACCACTGTATTATCTATGTCATATACAAAATTGCTGGCAGCGTTCTTGCCTCTTCATCCTTGTAAACACGGTGAAGTTTGAATCAAAACCGTAGAAATTGTAAAATTGTCCGGTAATAGTTTGAATCCCGTATTTGAAGTTGATGCCTATTAAAAATAATAACCTGTTATAGAGGAAAGGATAGCTGCACTACTCAATGCACAGCCGAGTATAACTTTTGACAAGTCATTTGACCGACGGCTTACGATGTCCGCTTCGGAGCGCTGCAGCCCGTAATAGCAGCGAGCATATCAGGCTCAGAACTCCGGCGGCTACGTCAGATTTGAACGTCTGATTCTGTGATCAAGAAGCGGTTTTGAATGGCAATTTAAAAAGTGATATACACCAGTGATGATACGTGTACTTAAATGGGCCACAAAATGGAACACTAATGGAAATTCGACTAAAGTCTAAAAAAACTCAAATACCGGGCTATGATCGTATCTTTAGAAGTGCTTGACGTTTGACATTTTGAATATATAGAGACGATGGCTGCTAAACTTTGCACGTAAACATCAAAACATTAGAAAGATCCATGGCCAAATGCTGAACTATATTAATTTTTTGTGATGAAGTCATCATTGTAGCTGTAAACACAAGTGCTGCTGAACTGAGGTAATACTAAAATAGTATGGCGCTGATAAAACGTGGTAGTTTAATTTAAATGAGTAATTAGCCATCTATTCTGACAACATGACTACTTACAGAACAGGGACTACCAAGTGAAGCCCCTCCCCATCCTTCCCAGCATGCTCTCCGCGGGCTGACCCCTTCACAAATCAAAATGGCGCCGTTTCCAGTTGAGGAGTTTTTGACCGACGACAGGCGTGTTGATGTCCTCCATCCGTCTTAGTGTGTTTTCATTCTACCCCCATTGCTTCATCCGGGCTCGATCAATGGCGGATATTCTCCGTTCTTCCACAAATGGGTGCCGGTGACACTTGATAGATAGACCCCCATTAGATGCCAAGATTCCCTCCGCATAACCCCATTTTCTTAAATCTACCCCAACTTCTTGTCGCATTAGAGTAGAGGAAGCTAAAGCTATTCATCTTAGTATGCTGGGTCATTATTTCTGCACATTTTAGCAAAGTTTTCTTGTTCTCTGAGAAACGTGTACATACGACTTGTCACGACGGTAGATCCAGCATCATAATGTCGGGATGACACTTCATTCGTCTGGATTTTCTGGCTGAGAAAGCCGGGTATTGGTACGGAAGGAAATCCACGTGCCTTGCTTTCAATCTGGTGGAATTGGGCGGTTGTGCACGCAGGTTTAAACACGTCAAGCAGTATATAACAGTGGTGGTTTCAAATTGAGAGGACGTTGGAAAGTTTTCAACTACTGTGTCCGTTTTTCCGGATAAAAAGATACAATAGGGAGGAGGGATAGTACCGAAACACTGCGAAATGTCTAGAAACAAATAAAAATGTAGGGTCTTGAAATTCGAAGGACGTGACCACCGGACCTTTCGAATTTGTCAAGTCAATGTGGCACCATGTGACTAGCAGGAGTTTGTTGTTTCTTTTGCCCTGTTAATGATTTTATAGTCTAAACTATTACGACGATCATCTCACCAGCCATGCCAAAGAAAATGCAGACAATGGATTCGTGAAAAATAACATTTCTTATTTGACTGTTGTGACCAAAGAATAGTATTACTGCACACAATATAAGAAGAATGTGCATTTTCCTCTGTTGCACAATATGTCGGGTTTGCTTAAATCTTTAAATCTGGCACTTCAAATAAAATACTGATACTGTAAAATACTGACGCCCAAAGTATCTTTGGGAGCTAAGTATAATTAACTTAGTATCTGAATTAACTTATGGACACAGCTTTTCCTAAATATAATTTTCGAAAATAAAATAAGCTTCAATACATACACTCTGCTTACTTTGCTCATCGCTGCTCATCTGAAAGCTGCTCTAGAAGACTTAGAAATCAAAAGCTTTTTAGACGTATGAAAATACTTGTTTTAATATACCTGAGGACTGGCTATGATTTCGTGCTGCCACCTAGCGAGTTGCTGTCACAACTACAACTACAAGACTACAACTACTGCTAAAACTCTGACCAACGCTGAGATCCACTCTGGAGGTTTGTCCACCCTCCATGTCTCCACAGTCCAGAAGTACCGCCGCGTTCCGTCCGTCGCCTCCGTCTCGTTCAAGAACGTGTTCCACATCCGGGGTATGCGGGCTTCTCCAGTACACGCGCGCCACGCAGCGGCGGACTGCATAAACGCAGCCAGCAGAGACGTACAGAAAGATGCCCTGCTTGAAGCTTGACAGGACCTGGTAGAGAGGATCGTCATGGACAACAGGTACTGGGAGTTCTAGAAGAGCGACATCTGGCGGGCGAGCTTGGATGACATCTTGTTGCTCTTCAGGGGACAGAACAGGTGGGTACAGAACCCAGCAGTCGGTCTCAAAGCGACGGGAAGTCACTTGAACCCCCCGGTAGAACACCGACACCAGTATTGTGGGGAGGGGGGCAGGGTTTCCTTGGGAAATAAATGGAATCACGTATGTCCATTGTTATGTAAAAAAATACTCACAACAAATAGGCTAAAGTGACACTGAAAAATTTGACTGTAACTCAAATAGCTTTAGTCTCTATATCTTTGAAAAGAAAAAAACTAATCACGCAAATCATTTCAAAGAAAAGATTGCAAACAAAAGATCAATCAATACCTCCAGGTTGTACCGATGAACTCTGGGAAGACACCGATGCACCATGGTCGGTGAAACGGTAGAGTTTGCACGGCTGCCCCGTCCGGTCCTCGTCCGAGATTTCCTCACTGATCTCGCGAGACCTAGCGAGAGCATTCCTCAGCCGGGCCTTCCACCTGGTGGGGTTAGGAGGGTGGACCGGCCTTCCCTGGTTAGTTTCCCACTCCTGAAGAAGCTACAAATGGCGGTTTTTTTTTAATAATGTTTTGTTTTATTGGGCTCTGTTAAATGATATACATCCAGGGCTGCCCAACTACGTACCACGTACCTCGAGGCTATTTTGAAGGGCTAGTCCTGGTAATTATAACTGGACAATATACGGTACATGACAAAAGACAATGTTTTAGAATAAGACGCTCAAAATAGATCATATAACAGGTTTAAGTACATATTTATACACAAAGTTAAATGATACTTCAGTCAGTACATGGCATGTATAGGATCCAATGCTAAATACTAAAGTATAGGATGCACCCATAATAATTGTTAATTCTAATCAAATAAAATTATATTTCTACAGCAGAAAACGCCAGTGTTGTATTCAGCATGACTTTATCTAAAACTTAAATGAGAATTTGCTAACCACAAGGAAACGAAAGTTATATGTCGTTTTCACTTCTTTGTTTACTTAGGCCACTTTAACTAAATAGTACGCAAACACCATTAAATCTTATAGCATGAAAATGTTATCGCTACAAGTCCATTAGTTTGTTCCTTGTGACTTGCCTTTTATTTTTCTTCATGCTGTCTATAAATGGTAGACATCATGAAGCTTTGAAATGGTGATAATAATGGTAAAAGTAGACTTGGGACATAAAGCCTTAAAGCATCAAATTATGGGAAACCATATTTTATTGGTGTTACACAAAGGACAAGGACAACGTGACATACACTCAAGTTTCAACTGTGTTACACCACACAAAACAACAATTTGGGAAACCATTTGATGTGGGGAACCCGTCTTGTCGGCTTTTGGGGCTTTCGTGAATTTTTCTTCCGAGTGCCAAATGAAATAGATTACAATCATGCGAATATCCTTAAATTATGTGAAATTTTGGTGCAAAATGTTACCCCTTTAACACGAAACCCATTGTATTTAATCTACGCTTAGATCGTAACTGTGTAAAACTTACATGACGCCACAGAAAAAATATTAATAGTATTGCAGTTCCGTCTAATAAATGAATGTAATGTATAAATGCTACGATTGTCTTTTAGAAAGTCATCAAGGTCATATTCTTGCATTGGTCCAGTATTGTAATGAAATCCACAATTCAGTAAAATGGCTGCGAGTGATTTAACCTGAATAAACTATTCATTCGTTCGTTCGTTTTTTTAACAACCTTGAACAGTGTCGTGTCTCTATTCAGGTCGAAGTTTTCTCCGTCGAACCTGGGCCAGGGGAGGGAGAAGACAGTCCCGCGGGGCCCCTGCCACACCAGCCCCGGGTACCCGGGCTGACCGATCCGCCCCAACAGGAAGTCAGGTAACTGTTGCCTACTCGGGCCTGCCATTCTGACACTTCGGGGAAGCCACAGAATCTGTAAAATCAACAGAAAATACGAGTTTTATTTCCTCCTATTTCCGGCGATGATTCCGGATTTTTTGTTCAGGTGCATACCCCAAAAATGATTAGTAAGTCTCTCCCCAAATCAGTCTTCCCTACCCAGATCACTTCACTTAAAACTATGTTCCTGTTTGTTCTCCGCTATTACCCATTGTCATGCTACGTCTCTTTGTATCCTTTGTTTTACATTAGCCTAACTTACTCCAAGCAGAGGGTTGGTGGAGAAGTCACCTTTCTATCAGATGCCCCGTTTTCTGGTGGGGTAGCGACAGAAAAAGAAGAGGCATAGTTCCACCACAAACTACCAGAATGTAAACAAACATGGCTGACAGCTTTGTCTCCAGCTTTTAAACACGTGCGAGGCGTCAAATTTTGGCACCCCCACTTCCCGAATGACACATATTTGCAACGGAGTAGGGTTGATTTAACTTACTCCGTAAAGAAATGATAAAAAAATTTACTTTTTGTATCGTTCTAATGTGACATAATGTGGCTTTAATTGATCAAATTTTCAAAGGTCACAACAGCGATTTCACATTTATTAGACTATTATATGTACATTAATTATTAGCGGCTACGTGGAAAATGTCACGAATTCGTGGAAAATAACAACACTTTAACACGGGTTTCGTTAACTGTAAAATTTCAAAACAATTCTACATGGTGGATAAACAAGGAGATAAAAGACAATGTTGTGGGTATCGCTGCTGACATCTCACTGCAAAGGCTATTGCAGAAACACTGCGCAGAATCCATTTTTACACGCACCTTAAAGCATGTGTAAAGATTCCGTTTCTTCACTTGTTTGTAGCTTTGCGCAAGCTTTAAGTCGTGCTTAAAGATAGGATTTCGTGCGGTAAAATATAGGCAAATTCTATCTTGATACTTCATGCTTTCAAGTCACGCAATGACAACCACAGGGAAATGGAATTAACAACGTGAAAAAAACATCATGATGGATAGAACAATAACCAAGCTGTACATTTTTACCGTGCAAAGCGAGATAATAAAACATCACGTTAAAAATCCACACACAAATAATTATAAAGAATCAAATATACGATATGGTCTGATATATGCCAAAAGATGAACAATCAATGCTAGAAACAAAAGTTTAAAATTTGCATATTCTTAAAAGATAAAGTAGCAAACATCGCTAAGAATACAAAAATTAGAAATCCTATAAATTATACATTTCTAGATCTCATTGCATATTCATGAAGTCAAACTGTATTGCTATCTATACTCACGCTCACCGGCTTGATGCCCAAATGAAGCCACCGTAGTAAGTGTACTTAAAAACGACCCAATCCGTTTATGAACTGACTTGTTATTTTCCTATACACCCACATTGTTACGCAATTTACACAGAAACAAGGAAGGAAAGAAATTAAAAAAAGATGTTCTCAATGTCAACGTCAACATTCCTAACTGACTGGCGAAGCGTGTCGTTTCTTAGAATGACCTGTTTATGTGGGCGGACAGCGTCACTGTTTGTGCATGATTGACAGATGTAAATTGTTCGACACTACGTTAGAACCAGTGATTCACCACGGTACAGCCCCAAACATGTTTAAAAGTCGCTAAAACCACGCATGTTGCGTCACAGTGTGAGTTTAAAACTCATAGAAATGTCTCTGAAAGCAGAAGGTAGGGAATAATCATCTTTTGGTAAGTCACATGAATGAATAGATCAAAATCTATTGTGGCGGTATGTTTGGGAAAGCGATTTTACTGCATGTTTTACTGCATCCCACAACATTTAACATGTTAAAAAGGATAGAATATGTAGCATGTGCATGTGAGACGGTTTAGTTTCAAGGCATTCCATGACCAGTGCAATTTCATGGCGGCAAAACTGGAATATTCAGAATAAGGCAATCTGTATGATATTGATACATACTGCCTCAAATCAGCAAATTTGAACCAGTATTTCTGGACACTCAAAACAGGTCAGAAACAAGCCCCAAAGTGAGCACTTATTTTCTAGAATTCTGGGTGGTACCCTGAAAACCAGCCCAGAATCCTACCAGTAACTGTTTTCCGTCACATTTTTCGGCATTTTTGCTCCATGAATATGTTGATACACATCGGAATAGTGACTAGAAGTTGAAAAATTTAGTTTTGACCCTAAAACTGCATTGGGCAACTTTAATTTTGTCAATCTTCTCCCATTCTATACATTCTTTAACCTCAAAATTGCTAAGCTTTCCGGAGGCTCAACCTCCCTATGCATTTTTTCCGGAACATATTCAGATACTAAGTACCTGCGCACGGTATTAGTCTTGACTCTTGAGCGCACGTGGAACATTGAATCTGGGGATTCCCCGTGTTACAAACTGTGCGGAATAACAAACAAAGCGTTTTACACATTTGTGGAAATAACTACTTTGCTGTTAGTCATTGAGCTAGTTAGTCATTAATTTGTACCCAATTTTGCACACACAAAAAATGTTTACGCGTGACTAACTATAGCCTAGTCAAAAGAAACGGAACTGTGCCCAAGGCCACAAAATAAACCCATGTATATGAAAATAGATATTATAAATATGATATGTATATAATGGTTAAAATGTCGAGACATACTTCCTGAAATAGGGCTTATACATACATTTGAGTACGAAAATAAACGTTTCCGGCACTCTATGGCGAACAAGTACTTCTCAGTTTTAAAAAAAAGACAATGTTTGTGTTTCTACTATTTTGAGTCAATGTGCGACGACCCGGCATATCGTGTCAACCGGAAATTCCTCGTTTACTCTCAGGAAAAGAAAGAAAAACTCCGCCCCCTCAAACTCGCTACATCTTTAGCACACCTTAAAGCTTGCGTAAAACTACACACAAGTGAAGAAACGGCTCTTTACGCAAGCTTTAAGGTGCTCTTAAATATTTTGCGCATGCTTTAAGGTATTTGTATTCATTTGTATCTAAAATTAAATACAAATACCTTAAAGCATGCGTAAAATCTTGAACTTCTGAGACACCTTAAAGCTGGCGTAAAGCCACACAAGTAAAGAAACGGAACTTTTACACATGCTTTAAGTTGTGCGCGAAGAATGGGTTTGGTGCAGTATTGTAAAGAACGTATGAATGGGGAATGACAGGATAAGAAATGTACACCTGTAATGTACACCGTGCAGGCACGAACACGCACACACATGCACGCACTCGCGCGCACGCGCGCGCGCGCACACACACACACACACACACACACACACACACACACACACACACACACACACACACACACACACACACACACGCACACGCACGCACACGCACACACAGGTACACGCACGCACACGCATATATACAGCCGATTTCAAAAAGTATAACAAGCCGATCTTACCTGGTCCGAGCCATGACAGAAGCCGTTGACCGCCATCGTGATATCCTCTTGCTGTTTTCGCGGAGAACTAAAGCTACTGGTGAAAATTCATTCCTGAAAAACAGGATCTTCTTCATTTTTTCCCCTGTCTTAGTCATCACTGTATGAATATTATATGTGCACACTGAAATGCACCTCCTGTAAGATACGAATGTCGGGGAAAGTCAAGCTAATGATTAACGGAATTTTTCCGGTTTCGTGTTGCACAAATTGACTCAGGGGCTACCGAGGGGAAGTCCCGCACAGGCAGGTGGTAAGCTGAGTAGACGATATGGCTACTCAGTCTAAAGCAAATAAAAACATTGTTAGATATACATTCCTTGGTGTTCTTTTACCAGTATTGTTTTCTAATTTCCGTATTAGTACTAGTGTTCTTTCTTCGCAATGAAAACGAGAAGGAAACAAAAAGAGACCATGGACTAGAAATAGATTATATTTTTACGGGACATTACTGAATGCAATGCAAACATTTACTTGGTCTGTTTTACATACGTACGGGACTGTACTGAGACTTTCCCATGATTATATTTTTATGAAAAAAAAAACAGCTACCATGAACAAAAGGGAAGGCTGTTTAAATAAAGTTTTCGTTTACAACGTAAAAATGATACACGCACACACACACGCACGCACACACACACACACACACACACACACACACACACACACACACACACACACATACACACGCGTACGCGCGCAACAACAACAACACACAACAACAACAACAATCCTACAGACACAAAAAGAAGCTGTGATGACAAATGATCCACCTCCAAGATACATACAGTTCATTTTGGACTAGTATATATTTTGAAACAGTCAACATGCTCATTATACAATGCGTACGTTCGTCTCTATACATAGAATATGTTAATCTATGAAAACACCTCTAAAGGCCATTAAAACATACATCTTAACCTTCTCAAAAGTAAGTAATCATTCTCACAACAGGCAGTGCATAGATCTGCTTGAACACTGTACGTATGATTAATTAATTAAGTACACAGCTTAATTGGCAGGAATAATTCTAAAAGTCACAAAATCTTGACCTTAAGATAACCATATACTTTTGACTTGACAACAGGATGCCATAGATCTAGTTGAACCCAACGATCTAGGGACGGTTACTTATTATAATTGCATTTCTATGTTGTGACATCACACACAAACATAATATTTGTATCATAGGCTTATTTAGGGTTCGGTCACTTTTGCAAACAAAGCGCATTATTGGGATGTTCGTGCCTGTGTTGTACAACTGTCTTGCGATCTAACGGGCAGTATTACAACCTTTGTCCGTCCGTGGTTGGCTCTGTCACGCCCTGATTGAAAATACAGCCAAACGTGCCCAAGAGAGCACCTCTATAACATAAAATCCGACCACGACGACCGCTCATTCTGTACTACACCAGAATCGTACGACAAGCTACGATAAATGTACTCTCCAAGCAGAGGTTTAGGCTTCGGCTTATTATTGTCGTGTTTTTATGTGTTTTTACACGCTTTGTTTTTTGCACTTGTATCTTTTTTACGCCAGCGTCGTAAATGTTAAAAGTCTGGAAAATGGATACTGCCTAGCGCCTGGCCAATTTGATATTGTCTTTGCAGCCACCGAAAGATCTGCCTGAAGATTACGACGAATGTGACCACAGGAGAACCTGCAATGTTTACATGCCGTTCGGGAAGGCTGACGGAGCGTCTGGCTGAGCGTCTATGTTCATGCTCTGCACGAGTCCCGCCACCAGCTTCACCATCTTGTCGTACTCGTTAGAACAGGAGACCCCGGCCCCGTTCAGACTCAGCGAGTGCTGCCCCTTCACCTGGCGGACCACCTCGAGCTGCCGCGCCGCCGTCAGGTGCGTCACTGTCACGGTGATGAGGTTGTCCTTGAAGGGGTGCCGGTCCCGGTCCCACACCTGCCCCACGCATAGCCTCAGATCCGGGCTCGGCCGCACGGCTCCGTCCGTCGTCACGTAGTTCTGCAACGCCGGGATGAAGGCGGTCTGGTAGTCGAAGACTTTAGTAGGCTGGTCGCGGGTCAGCTTCAGGGGCGGGTCGGTGGGGCGGTTACTGTCTTCCCAGAAGATCTTACTCCTGCACAGCCGTCTGGCGTAGATGTCGTTCTGGTGGAACTCCAGGACGACTCCTCGCTCCGTGTGCTCCAGAAGCTGTTTCGTGAGGTCGAACTGCTTCTGCCCCGTGCTCTCCCGGTCAACGTCCGGCAGGACGAACTGGGTAACGTCCTGGGGACCGTACATGCCGTCCGCCAGCTGCGCCTGCACGATGACCTGCCGCCCGATCTTCTGCGTGTAGGCCGACCCGGAGAAGATCCGCAGGCCCCGCGGGTTGGAGACGCGCTGCGGAGCCACCACGCAGCGCCCCCTGTACTCCACCGTTATGTCTACATCCGTGTGTCCTGTGGAGTAGGGTTGAGAGAGGTGTTAAAAACTGGAAAATGTCGTTTAACTTTTTGCCAAACTTTTTTATCCGCACGCGTTCCCAGAGGATGTCAAATCAACATGGCCTAAGCAAGGAAACTAGATTAGCCCCTTCTAGTCCCATGATAGAACCACTCTACCTTCTTTCCAAAACGAGATAGAGTGACCAGGGCATATGATGGGGTCTAGAATAAACATAGTAATTACCAATCAGTCCGGGAAAGTCCTCGACGCCCAGTTGTTGTCCTTGTGCTTGTTGGCCAGAGACGGGATAGGCCTGTGGTGGACCAGCGCCCACTAGCGGCTGTTGCTGAACCTGCATCCCACCCTGGTCCGGTAACATGTCTAACTGTAGTGGAGACACTGCCTGCCATGTGTTCGGGTCGATCTCTGCAAGACCAGTAAAATTGGATGAAGATGTTATTAGTTTCACGTTTTCGTAAAAACTACTGTACAATATCATAACATAGAATCGCATGCCAAAACAGCTATATTATATGTCGCACAAGTAAGAAAAAGAAAAAAAAAACGCATAAGATTTTCATTGAGAAAAATATTTCATATTTCTAAAGGGATTTGAATGTATGACGTTGGCCGTACCGTTCAGTACGTCATCAATGTCGTCACACTTCATGCCGAAGTCCTCCCCCAGACCCGTCAGAATGGTAGCGCCCGCCTGAGGGGATGCCGCCTGGAAAGGTTGCTGAGGAGCTGCAGAAAAAGGGACGGGGCATAAAGTTCTGAATATTCTGCTGAGGAGCTGCAGAAACAGGGACGGGGCATAAAGTTCTGAATATTCTGCTGAGGAGCTACAGAAAAAGGGACGGGGCATAAAGTTCTGAATATTCTGCTGAGGAGCTGCAGAAAAGGGACGCGGCATAAAGTTCTGAATATTCTGCTGAGGAGCTGCAGAAAAGGGACGGGGCATAAAGTTCTGAATATTCTGCTGAGGAATACAACTTTAAAAGACAGCTGCCGCCGCACCGCGTACCTGCGAAGTTGGTGTGTTATGTCGAGTGGCGTTTTCCCAACATTTAACAGAAGACATGGTGCCGGCACACTCAAGTTTTTTGCTTTTTTTTTGTACGCAGAAGGGCATTGGGTAATCTGGAGAAGAAAGTTGTGTAAAATGCTTTTCCCATGGGCAAAATTGCAAGATCGGTGGCATGGCAAGATTCGAACTCGGGACCTCTTGGTTCCAAGCCAAGCACTCTACCGTAACGGCTATACAGATACAGATACTTACGTAGGGTGGGTGTAGGGACGAACTTGTAGACTCGGTAGGGGTCATGAGGATCATCGGGCTTGCTGAGGAGGGACTGCTCGGCAAAGTCCGGTAATCTTCGCAGTGCGTTTCGTAGCCTCGTTTTCCAGGCGGTTGGGTCCTCCCGTTGGCCGGGTTTGTGTTTTCCTGTCAGCTCCGCCCAGAGCTAGGCAGCAAAAAATGTGTAGGCATTTAGAGCTGTACCAGTCATGATCAGGATTTATCTGTGATTTACCCACCTACGTTACCTGTACTTTCAAATTGATTCATGCTATTAAATTGTTATTTATCATTTGTATTTTATAGGCTTCCATGGAAACCAGGCGATAGAGATATGGGACTACCCACTTGTGACCAAGAGGAATAAATAAATAAATTAATTCAATTAAAAACTACTCACACAAAAAAAAAATACCGACGTTGCATTTTTTCAACGTAACATTTCAATTCAATTTCTTTTCTACGGAAAAAAATGTTGCTTTTCCCATTTGCTTGTGCGCCCCTAGTTCAAGCTGTATGACGCGTTTTATTTTGAAGTTAACGTCTGCAATTTACTTACCCGGAAGATCATCCCATCTACTTCCGGGTCGTAGCCGTCCCGTCCCGCATGGCGCCAACCAATCCGGAAGATGCCCTGTGACCTGTCGACCCACGTCAGCCCTTGGACGTCATTCCGTTCTAGGTGCTCCAACAGGAACTTCCGGAGCCGTTTCCGGTCGTTCCTATTGAGGTCGTGATTGTTGTTGTTCGACATGTTACCTTATTTTCTTCGTCGGTTGATTCCTGCGAACCAAAAGTTTAAATGTCGTCTGTGAGAGGAGTGCCACCACAAACTACCAGAATGTAAACAGACATGTCTGAAAGCTGTGTTTCACGCTTTTAAACACACTCGAAAGGCAACATATTTTGACACCTCCACTTCAACTTACTTTGGAAAGAAATGACCAGAAAAGTTTGTATCGTCCTAATGTTACATTATGCAGCTTTAAAAATTCTTTGTGACGACCGACATCCTAAAACAAGTAGAGGGTTGAACAGGTCTTTGTACAAATCTTGCGAAGTACACGTTCTTCCGCAATCAATTGAATTGAACTGAATCAGTCATTTGTGGCCGAGGGTCGAACAACACGGCTTGGCTTTTCAGTCGGCCAGAAACGCTCTCTAGCGATATTGTACAAAACGCCAGCCATGTCAAAGTTCAGATGATTGTTTACCACAGATAAGGTTACTGCCAGGTGGCCCGAGGGCACAAGTGAAGTCCACGCTTTTGTTGACATTTTTTACTCTCCAAACAGAGGTTTCGGCTTCCGCTAAGTGGTTTTATCGGGCTTTCGCCAGCCAAACTTTGGGCGACGTATTGGATGTACTGCCCGGCCAATTATACTAGTACTGTATTGCCAATTTCATAATGTCTTCCAGCCACTAAAAGATCTGCTCATTTTTTTACCCCCCCCCCCTGTGATTTTGTTGCCGTGAAAGGTCATTTTACAGCGTTTGTGTTTGTGTTACAGAATTTATCTGGTATTAGTATCTAGTTTAGTTACTATTTAAAATAAGAAAAAATACGTGCGCCACTTAATTATGACGTTGGGAATTCGAATTTCCCATTTTACTTCATGATGCTCCCCTGGCATTAATATTGCAGTAGCAGTCTTATCCCTGCGTGCACAATACAGACCTGTTTGCGACTGGGTGAAATGATCAATCTTGACGTTACTATGTATAGACACTCAGGTAAAGCCCCATCGACATCAGTATCATTTCTAAATCTTGCCTGGTGTCCAGTCTATCGTGTTTGGGACCGGGCTTTCTTCGGGGGCTCTATTAGTTTTTCCCTCCCAGCTCAACTGACCGCCCATGGGAGTGTTACGGCTGTGAGTGATAGAGTTTTGTACGCCAGAAGACGATTAGCCCCACTGCCGTCGAGCAAAATGAGTGGGACGGGGAAGAGATCCTGCAATCCCGAAGAGAGCGCTCCCTAACCACGATATACTGGACACGAGTCTAAATCAGGACAGTGTAACGTTGTAAGCAATTTCATTGCGCAATACATGTCAGCTACGCACGAAGGGTCAAACCAAATCTGCATCAAAAGAAGAATACGTGTTGATATTTCTAGATATTTTGAAGTACACAGAGTGGAATTATGGCATGCGTTATCAACCCAAGAACTCACTTGCGGAAATTCCTCTACACCCCTCAGTAAGTTACCGTGAACAGAGTCGCTGGCTGGTTCTGAGTGTTGTATTAAAATGTGAAAGCGGCAGTAATGCCGCAGTATATAACACAGTTAAACACACCCTCCTTCATATAAACACTCCACTCACAAAACGATGGTTATAGGCCTTATGTCACCATATAGATCGTCATTTATCGCATTTTCAAAGGCAACCTTTTCTTCGGTAAACCGGGTGAAATATTTGTCCACAAGCAAACAGGTGGACGCGTCCTTGAGACAGACGTTCCAATACATGGATAACTTTACTTGTTGGCCATGGTAATCTAAAACAACCCAAAAAAAGAAAAAAAAAAAGAACAAGAACAAGAACAAGAAGAAAATTGCTACCTACCGACCCTAGTTTTTTTCAGGACTAAAACTGGAAACACAACATGAATTTTCCTGGGCCTTAACGTTGTACCATAATACTAGTAATCCAACCTCGTCTGTGTGTGTGGGTGGGGGGGGGGGGTCGGGAAGGGA